CCCAGCACCGTGCCAGCCTGCTTCCCACACATCTGTAAATCCATCAAGCTATAATTCATGGCTGGTGCCAACAGAGACTTAGGTCTAGGCCTTTCTCTCTGGAATATGCAGAGATCTCAAATCATTAATAATTCACTCTGGAGTAATGAACAAAGCTGTAACAAGTAGTGAGCCTAAATAATCAAGTGACAGACCAATTTATTTCTGCAGTGCCCAGATATAATGGTAGCAATGAGAAGGTATAAGCTTGTCGCTGAAAAGTTTCTCAAGACTTAGATCAATGTGTTTTAAGTTTCAGAATAAAATGGATCATTAAATGGGAAATGAATTTGTTGAGTAGCCTCAAGCCTATTTATATTCAGAGTTGCTGGTCCAGAATTACTGTACTGTTTCTCCCAAATGCTTTTGAGCCTCAGGGCCTGAAAATCAGAGTAATAATTACTCATTAATTAAATCTAAGAAGTGGAACACAGCTTGAGACTTTGAAAAGGGAGTTCGGGATAATTCAGGTACTATACTCAAATTATTGATGATAATTAGAAAGTTTTTGGCTGTTTTATATCTACCAAATTTTAGGAGTTTTACATCTACCAAGAAGTTCCCAGTATGCTTTAAGTTTCATCCTGCTTGTCACTGGCTTTGGGAAATCCAATACCTCAGACTCTGTATTCATTATAGTGATGGAAACATCCCCACTGAGTGAGGAGGATCTCAGAAACAGGCTAACTTGTCTGTTTGAGTCTGGGATGGAGGGCTAGGAAGAGACCAAGGCGGGTGCAGAAAGCAAGGCTACCATGTGAGCTGAGATTTACAGAAAAAGTTTGTCAAGCACAGAAATACTAGGAACATTCTATATCAAGAAATGACATTAACAAGAGAAAAAATATGGGAGCCGAAGCAGAGGATTGGGAGTAGAGAGTAAATCATCCCCCTCATTACACTTGCCATGCATGATCACATTCAGCCCCCACTGCATGCCTTGAAGTGGGTGTCCTATCCACCCTTATTACTCATTTTCAAAAAGAGGAGGGACCCAAAGGCTTTATGTTTGATGAAGGAAGTTACTTCTCGAGTGACGTACAGCTGGGAAGTAGCAGAAACTTAGAAATGAGTTAGGGAGAAGGTGTGCTTCTTATGCAAATATCCAACTTCAGGCATTGCCCAAAAGAGCACTTGCCTAGTGTATCCAAGGCCTTGTACTGTATCTTCAGCCCCAGAAAGCTAGGCAAAATAAAAGGGACCAACCATCTGCTTTCATTGTCAGAACAGTTAAACATGAGAATTGCTAAACTCTTCAGAGCTGTGACTTTGTGCTCTCTCCAGGACCAGCAGAGATATGAGAATGTCCTCTTCAGCAGAGGAGGGGCATCAGAGTAGGCTTCCACACTTCAGTGATGGTAGCAATTTAGGAAAGCTAGACACAGGTAGCAAGTAGGGGAGCTGGTGAGGAGGTCTTTTAGAGCAGAAAGGCCTGATAGTAGGAAAAGATCATGATCCCAATTCATGTTTTTATATTGGCTTGCAATTTGAAAGTGTTTTCAGACATAAATAACTTTTTGTTTTTGTTTTTTTCCCAAGGGACTTTGTGCTAACAGGAATAAGTGTAGTAACTTAACTCATTTGGAAGAAGTGTCAGCCCTGAATGGTTTTCTCATTCGTGACCTGATGGGCAAAGTGATGATGGAGAAGCAGTCTGAGAGTGTGAAGGCTTAGCTAATGATCCCAGGCCCTGTCCAAAGGCTTTCTTTGCCATGCCCCCATTTGACCATCCCCATTAACTCTTTCACATGGACAGTGTGATGTAGTTCTGGACAGAATGAAAAAGACACAAGTAATCCAAGGGGACTGGGGTAGAGCTAGCAACGTGCTTATAAAATGTCTTTGTATGGGCCTGAAACAGACCAGGCTTCTGTGGCAGTGCTCTTTGCCCTGAGTGTTGCCTCCAGTCAAGAAGCAAATCCTCTTGCTCGTTGCACTTAGCCACAGTTAAAGTTCCATAGCCCTAAACACACCTGGCCTCTTTCAGAAAAGGAAATTAACTTGATATCTCAGCCTCAAATACTTGAGGGAAAGCGTACATCATATTATAAAATTGGTTAAATTAGGATTTCAGTACTCAGTTTAAAAACAGACATTTAAGGTAGGCGGATCTGTTCTCCTCCTACATAATGGAAGTCTATGAGGGAAACAGAGTGGGCATTGATGGGAGGCCAGTCTATGGAAACTGTCTCTACCCAGATTTCTCTCTAGGTTTGAGTTAGTAATGAATAGCTTCCTTCTTCCAGCAGGTGAGTGATTAAGGAAGCTGTTAGTATTTTCTAATAGTGCTAGATGGCATGCAACATGTTTATTGCTAGTAAGTCATTCCTAAGTTTTTATTTAAGGGAATGCCTAGGGAACATTGAGTTTTATAGGTTAGGCATGGAGTTCAGTTATACATAGTTTGAATAGTTGTTTACCTAAAAATATGCATGTGTATTCAGCAGATTATTCTGACCTAGCCACTGCTGACCTCATGTCCTCTTTAAAACTTGAGTGTTAGTGCAGTATAAACACATGGATATACAGTAGTGCATTTTTTTATTTCTGTTGATGCCACATGTTTCACTTACTGTGAGCCACATGTTTAATCAAATGGGCTTTTAATACTTGGTGTTTAGAGTACCGAATTTCCTGACATGGTTTTAATACCAGCTCTTTTCCTTCTGAAAAACGATGTCTACTTTGTGCTTTTGTTTGCAAATAAATTAAAGCCAGAAGCTTCTTGATCGCCATTGGAGACAATGCAAAGGGAAAACCCTCCAGGGTTGAGGCAGCAGACAGGTGTAGAAGTTGTAACCAAGAGGGTAGGCAGTACTTGGACTTAGATAGTAGTGACTCGGATGAGTCAAAGCTCATCATCTAGCTGATGGCATTGACTAGTTGATTGGTTGGTTGGTTGGTTGGCTGGTTGTTTTAGGCAAAATGGAAATATTCTGAAATGAACACTTAATGCAGATTTGTGAACTCTGTAGTTGAAGATACAAGAGAAAGTTGCTCTTTGACTCATGGCATCCAAGGATGTCCCAGGCCCTGTTTACCATAGATTCAGATAGGAAGGCCGGAAGCACCCATAGATGTCAGCCATCTCTATGTGCATAACTTCTCTCATTGTTCTTTTCCCTCTTCCCAGTGTCGCCAACAACCACAAGCAGAATTTGATGACTGTGGCAAACCTTGGCGTGGTGTTTGGACCCACCTTGCTGCGGCCTCAGGAAGAAACAGTGGCAGCCATCATGGACATCAAGTTTCAGAACATTGTCATTGAGATTTTAATAGAGAACCATGAAAAGGTAACACATAACCAGGCCCTTGCAGTAAAGAATTGAGTTGTTTAGCTGTGCAGGCGGGGGCTGAATGGGAACTGACCTTCGCAGCTGATTAGGTTTGCATTGCTAATGGCTCTTGAACCGAGATGATGGTGAGGTTGCAGGTTGTCATGTACATGGTGATGATAAATGTGAGAGTACTGGTAGAAGTGACAGCAGTAGCTGTCATGGTGGCAATAAGGGTGTGGGGTTGGTCAGGAGAGCATTGAGCTCTTGTTCTATACTAGGAACTGTGCTGAGCACTCTGTCCTGGTGGCTGTTGTCTCTTCGACGGTCCAGAGATGGAGTGATATTATGAGCTAGAAAAACCTTCTTATTTTTTACTTGATTATCTTAGAAATTTATGGGTTTGTTGCTATTAGGTATGGTTAAGTATTTTTCTCCTAGACTGAATTTTGATTATATAGCTGTTACATGTTTTTATACCTAACTGCATCCATGTGTTCATGCACATACATTCATATGTGCCTATATGTCTGTGGTCTTTGCTTTGAAAGGACTAGAATATCTTGGCCATCATTTTTTTAGTTATATTTTTTCTTAAAAATTAAGAAAATTAATATTATAAATTATATACAGATATGCAGTGTTTTTTCTCACTAATTCTCCCTGGGCTCCACATATATATCCACCTAATACCTTCATGCCCCTACCTTTAAAATCCCATTGAGTCCAGTCAGTCATTGCTGTATTCACGTGGGTGTGGTACCATCCACTATGCATGGGAAGCCTCCAGTGGCCACAACCCTAAATGAAAGCAGTACTTTCTGACCTCTGATGTTGGCATTCAGACTGAGCCCCATGATTAAATAATGATGGCTTTGTAAGACAGAGGTCAGCAAACAGAAAGGTAGTCTCTCTCTCTCTCTCTCTCTCTCTCTCTCTCTCTCTCTCTCTCTCTCTCTCTCCCTCTCTGTCCTAATCCTCAACTTGCAAGAAAGCTGTGATCAAATGAGGTTTCTTGGCTCTAGACCTCCAAAACTCTGAACCAGATGAATTTTCTTTTCTTAAAAAGTTACCCAGCCTTAGATATTTCACTCTAGTAATATAAAATGAGCTAATATGGTTTACATACATTCCAGATATGTTTAATAAACATAGTTCAGAAATACAATTTTGATAAAAATAACTCATTTTACTTATTACTTATTCACAAGATACTGTACTAAACAGCTTTATAGCTTCCTTCTCACTTAATTTTCCTAGAAAACCTATATGGTCAATAAATATTCAAAAGAAAATTCAGCATCCTTATCCATCAGGAGAATGCAAATTAACACTGGTTTGAGAGTGTATGTCACCAAACCAGAATGGCTGTTACCAAGAAAACAAGAAATGCTGGCAAGGTGGAGGACCCTAAGAGAGACATACATGGTCCCCTGGAGAAGGGGAAAGGGACAAGATCTCCTGAGCAAATTGGGAGCAAGGGAAGAGGGAGGAGGGAGCTAGGAGAATGAGAAGGGGAGAAGAGGAGGAAGACATGAGGGAGCAGAAAGTTTGAGTCAGGGGAAGAATAGAAGAAAACAAGAATGGTGATACCATAATAGAGGGAGACATTTTAGGTTTACAGAGAAATCAGGCACTAGGGAAAGGTCTGGAGATCTAAAAAGATGATACCAACTAACAATCTAAGCAACAGAGGAGAGGCTACCTTAAATGCCCTC